TTTGTTTCTTGGTTTTTCTGCTGGTTTTTATGGTTGTTTTCAATCTTTCAATTTCTTAGGTTACATTTAAGGATTCAGAGGCAGCCATGAGAGCATGTCAAAATCCATCCCCTGTGATTGATGGAAGGAGGGCAAATTGCAATCTTGCATCTCTTGGTGCACAAAAGACTCGTCCCCCAACTCCTCATCAGCAGCATGGTATGTCTCTCTCTCTCTCTCTCTCTCTCTCTCTCTCTCTCTCTCTCACATACTATATGCTTTTTTTCTTTGATAAATCCCTTCCAATATCCACTTTTGTGAAATTGCATTGATCATATTTTAAAACCCATTTTCATTTTATACCAAATTGAAATGTGGATCTAAATATGGGGTAGGAATTGAAAAGAAAATAATGTATGTGCTCATTTATTATGCTAATGCAGGTGCAGGAAGGTTCAGACCAGCACATGGGTTGGTGGCTCCACCTGCTTATCATGGCTCTTCATCACCATACTTCCATCAACCAACTGGTCAATACACATTTCCTTATTCAGCTTATGGGTAAGATTCAAAATCATCATAGGAATAAAAGATGGGCAAAATCCCCTTTTCTTTTCTGTTCAATGTCTGATTTTTCTTTTTTTTGTGTGTATGAAATTATAATTTACAGGTACACTGGATATTCACAAGATTCGATGTATCCCATGGTAATTTTCTATCATTTAAGTGACATTGCATAGATTTTATTTAATTTTTATTTCTTTTGGGGGAGCTCAATGTTGCAATGGTGATTCATGTTACCAATGCATTAACAATTTCATTGAATTGAGTTGCTTAAGCTGACTTTGATGGCAATGCATCTTGTTGCTTGCTGCAGAATTATTATAGTGTTTATGGTGGTCAACAATTCTCACCTTATTACACCACCACTGGGGCATCAGGGCCAACTGGCATGTACCAAAATGTCTACCCATTATATGCTCAGTATGCACAGAGCAGTAGCCAGGCTCATGGTCTTGGAGTTCAATATCCCCAAATGGTACAGTATCCATATTTGCCTCATCAGCCCTATGCTGCTGGTTCCACAGCTGGGATTCTCTCTCTTCCTTCTTCAATGGCAATTACCACCACCACAACTACCACCACAGGTAAATGTTAATTTTTTTAACCATACCCAGAAAATTACTTCAGAGTAACAAGGCAAACATTAAGCTCCAGAGAATTTACAAATTACATGCAAAATGTCACAGGTGCAACAGCAGCAGCAGCAGCAGCAGCAGCAACTGGTGCTGGTGCTTCTTCACAAGCCTCTGCAGCCAATTCTGAACAGAATTCTTCAACTTAAATGTCTACAGAGGGAAAAAAAAAACAATGTCTTCTTTACAAGGCTAACCACATTGATAATGGGTTACAGAGTCAAAGTGCAAAAGGGGAGGGGAAATGTCAATAACAAAACCATAATAAGCTATCAATTTCAAAAGGGTGCCTAGCCTGCTGCAGAATACATATCAGCTGCCATAAGAAGAGATCAAAGGGCATCCAAGTGATCAGCATTGGACGGTTCATTGCTTGCTCCACACTAACTTCATCTTCATCATCATACATGGGTGGGTTAAGACAAATAGGGGAGTCTTATTTTCAAGTAGTTGTTAGCATTAGGAGAATTAAGAGTCATAATTTAATCATTCATGTATTGGCATCATGGGGTGGAAGCTAAATATTGGGCTTTGGATTCTGCCTCACACACTAATTACCAGTTGGGTTATGTGCCTCGGGTGCATAGAGCATCCAATGACATAATACCGCTTGTTTATATTGGAAAGCAATCGGGTTTCAAAAGATTGGTTTTGTATCTTTGAAACCCAGTTTGGTCAAAGCTCTCGGATAGCTTTAACTGGCCATTAACTTGTAATTTTCTTCGTTTTGGTCATTGTTCATGATTGATACTTTTCAAGATAGGATTAGTTGGAAAAAATAGAAGATTGTCTGTCCCTCTCATTTATAACTTTTTTTCTTCGCAGATACTTTCGCTGTCAGTTTGGCAACTTGGCAATGTTTATTATGATTCTTCTTTTGCATGATCAAATTCAAATCACTTTTGGGCCTTGAATAAAGTGCTGGGAATCCAAGGGGATCGTCTTACAGAAAATGGGGGTCTAATCTCTAATGAGCTCTAGTAACTTTACTGTGTGCAAGTTTGTCATGCCGGTTGGTTGTGCGTGATTTGATTTGGAGGAAAATGATAGAAAGAGAAGATTTAAACCTTCTCAAGAACAAGTTTCATGTACCACACAAAATCACTCACATTATGTAATAAGAATCATGATGATATGTTTCGTTGCTTGCCCAAAATTACATGAACATGCTTCAAAAGGGGTAGCTAATGGCATTGGCACATACAACACTGTTGTCAACAAATCCTCCTCCTTTGAAAATAAAAAACAAACAAACGATAGTCTAAACTACAAGGGAATGGGGGGTTTCTCACACACACTACACTACTAAAGTGCTATGTGGAGTACAAACTTGAAACCACTAGTTCTTTTCCACTCGACTAAACTTCGTTAGCACAAATCGTCCTCCTTAACCATGAAACTTAAGCCACCTTCCAAAGATGGCTTGACAAATCTACATTCGGCACCTTTGAAGCCAATTTTTGATTCAATAAACCAAAGTTCACACTCTTTTTTTTGGTGCAAAAGTTCACACTCTTTATAATAACTTCTACTCTCAACTTCTAGACTTTACCAAAGGGTGTACAGAGGAGACACTTCTTGGCTTCATACGATTAATATATTTTACACATGCAAAAATAATTTATCAGAAACATAAAAACAACAATTTATACATTCATATTAAACTCTGACCGATTGGAAAGCAAGACAAATATTTTCCAAATAAAAGGTTCAAAGTGGAGTAAAGCTCAGCCCAAATTTTTTCGTTTTAATATTTTCATTTCCCACTATAAGTTAGCCCATCTTTACTCTTTTAAATTTTTAAAGACGTGTTATTGTTTATGTTGAAGGGCTTTTAAGTCATTCTACAATAGTAGTTATTTAAAAAACAAAATTAAGTGGGTGTCCAGATATCATCTTCATTTTTTATTTTTTGGGTCTGATCCAGATATCATCTTGGGTTCTCCATAAAATCACTAATCGTCCAAAGAAGAATTGGGCTGGGCTGGGCTTGCTTGACCCATATCAGTTTGCTACTAGATTTGTGGGCCTTGGTCGTGGTGGAGCCCACTCTTGGGCTTCCAAATAATCAGGCGAGCCCATTTCAGTGTACCTTTAAAAGCCCTGCCTCACTAGAAAATCAGGAACCCTAGAAGAGAAGTGTCGAGGTTTTGCAGCCGCGCAGCACTCTAAGCTCAGAGAGAAACCCGTCCATCTCAGATCTCATCTCTCTCAGGTAACTCTCTCCCTCTCTCTGTACCTCCCTCCCTCTGTGCCTCCCTCCACCTTCAACTGGAACCCACTGTTAACTCTGATGAATAACAATATTCAATTTTCATGACAAAAGAAATAATTTTGGGTGTTGTTTGTTGGTTAGTGAAAAACGATGTCAGTCTCAGAGCTTGCTTGCACTTACGCTGCCCTAGTCCTCCATGACGATGGCATCGCCATCACTGTATCCTTCGTTTATTACTGTTTTTATGTATTTGTGTTTATAGTGAAAAACGATGTCAGTCTCAGAGCTTGCTTGCACTTACGCCGCCCTAGTCCTCCATGACGATGGCATCGCCATCACTGTATCCTTCGTTTATTACTGTTTTTATGCATTTGTGTTTAGCTTCCTCTCATATTTTACATTTTATTTTAAGCTGGAAAAAATAAAAGTTTTATGTGTGTGTTCATGTGTAGTCTTATTATGTGTTAAATTAATATGGGTTTGATTTTGTTTGAATCACTTGTGTATTTCTGAGAGCATACGCAGGGAAAATAGATTTTGACTTTTTCTTGTATGATTTCTGTTGGGTTTAATTTAGTGGGTTAAATTGTTAAGGATAGAAGTGTTGTTTTGGGAAGCTGTGGTTCTCCTTAATTGGTTTGTAATAGGCTGAGAAGATTGCAACATTGGTGAAAGCTGCCAATATCACAGTTGAGTCCTACTGGCCTGGATTGTTCGCTAAGCTTGCCGAGAAGAGAAACATTGAGGACCTTATTCTGAATGTCGGTGCCGGAGGGGGTGGTGGTGCAGTTGCTGTTGCCGCCCCAGGTGCAGGTGCTGCAGCCCCCGCTGCTGCTCCCGCAGCAGAGGAGAAGAAGGTATTGCATCATCATATCGTTTTTCATCAATTGCGTTTCTATTGATCGTTTAGTGGTTATCTGATTTGTTATTTTCGTTTTGTTGTTTTCTAATTTGATCTTACAGGAGGAACCTAAGGAAGAAAGTGATGACGATATGGGATTCAGCTTGTTTGATTAGGAGCTCCTTCTAAACAAGATATAGTCCACTTTTCAGTTTGCTGGTTTTTAGTACTTTTGAGACTAGTTAACCTTATCAATGTAGTAGGGCTTTCTTTATTTTTGGCTTTTTGTTATGTATTTCTGATGGACAAATTGTTCAGAGTCTGGGGTTTCCTGCTGAGCACTATAATTTTGAACGATCTCCTTTTGAGTTTCTGGATATAAAAGTATGTTCCCCATTTAATCTTAATTTGAATGGTTTGCAATGGTTTTTGAAATTTCTTTTGTTCGATGTGTTATGCTTGTTTGGTGTCGGATGATGGTATAACTCTGTCTGAGTTTCTTGGCCTCGATTGCGAACCTGGGTCTTGTTTGATCACTGAGATCTTGTTTGGTCACTGAGAAATGCCATTAAATTTTTTAGAAAAGGAACTTTTGCCTAATATTTGGAGCAACCTTTGAGATTGAAGAAGAGATTATGAGGTGAATGCTTCTCTCTAGTGCAGAAGGGTTGTTGGGGTGAGTGGTGTGGATGCTACTTTCAGTTTGCTCATTTTAAAATGAGATTTTAGTTACACGGGCAGGATTTATCATCATTGGAAGAAATGAAAATGGCACAAGTGCTTATCAATCTTCTATTGATTTCGTTTGCCCTACTAGGCTGTGTTTTTTTTTCCATCTACTATCACCGAAGGTCTTCACAATTGGCCTATGAACAAGATTGCACAGAAGGTTTCACTTTTACATTCATATGATGCACACAAGGCGGTCTGTTTTGGGTGTGCAGCAGATTTCTTTTATGTTAGTTCACAAAACTGATCAACTGCAGGTTGAACTTGCGTCTTTCAGGGCGTTGCGATGTTTTCCTTGGCGAGTGGTGCAATTTCCTCACCATCAATCCCGGGTTCACTGTCAGCAACACCCAAATTTAGCAGCACTTCCTCCCACTTCTTGGCAGGTCCCTGTGCCATTACAATTCAAATTGTTCAATTATATGAGAATGTGATTCATTTTTAAAAGGATTATCGTGTTTAGAGAGGTTTCTTACCTTCCACGAGAAATCTTGAGCCATGCAGTTGCCTATGATCTCAGTAAAAGCTGGGGTTCCATAAGTTCCAAGGGCTCTTGTGACAGTAGTTGCAATCGCTTGTACATCCGCAGGATCAACAACTTCACACTGAAAGGAAATTTTGGAAACTTGAAATCACACAAAAGTAGAGAAGTTTTTATGTACAGAAAAAAAGGGTTGAAATTGATTTGTTTACTTCCACATTGAAACCTCCCATTTGAAATCCAGTGAATCCTTCTTTAACAGTGTCTACCAACCCACCAGTTGAGGCAACAATTGGCACCTGCAAAAGCACAAGCACAGCAGTGAGTTAGTATTATTGCAAGAAGATGAAGATTTTGGAAGGAAGAAGTTGTTGGAGGCAGTCATTTTACAGTTCCATAACGCATGGCATGCAACTGAATGAGACCGCAAGGCTCAAATCTGCTTGGAACCAACATAAAATCAGCTCCGGCTGTTATCATATGGGCCAGAGGAACATTGAACTTTGCTACTCCCCGGGCCTTGTCGGGGTATTTTATCTCCAACTGTTCAAGCTGCTTCTCCATTGGCTTTTTGCCAGTCCCCTGGGGAAATTGCAGAATGCACATGAGGATAGTATACAGGTTGGTTTTAGTGATACAACAAGCATTATCCAAGAAAATGAGAAACAACTTCCATGTCAAGTACTTACGAGGACTATGATCTGAACATTCTCTTTGATAAAATGGGGAATGGCTTCTATCAGAATATCTGAACCTTTCTGCTCTTCAAGCCTACCAATGAAACCTATGACAGGGATGTCTCTGTCCACTGGCAATCCCACTTCTGCTTGGAGGGCTTCTTTCAACAGAGGCTTTGCATCAGTCACCTAAGGAAAGCCAAATTTTCAAACGATATTGCATCATAAAATCAAAGAAGTTATACAGAGTGCTGGTCATGGAAGTTAATGCATGATAACTAATGCTCTTACAGTTGAAGCATCATATTTGGCAGTTGTATACTTGTCAGTTAATGGATTCCACTCCTGGACGTCCATGCCATTCACAATTCCAAGAATTCCAGTTTTCCGAATAAAGTTGTCCAATTCGCCTCCTTTTTCAACTGTAGAAACTAGTTCTTCGGCATAGTATGGGCTAACAGTCAAGACCTTGTCTGATTCTAAGATTCCAGCTTTCATCCAGTTAATTTTCCTCCCCTTCACTGGCTTGTCATAGCTGTGGAATTGGACCAATCATACTCAAGGCTCAATCATATAATAGTATGCAGTCTATGCTATATTCTGTACAAAGAAACCCTACCCATCAATGAAATCAAAGGAGCTTTTGAATTCATCTGGTAGATTGAGAAGTGCGAAGTCTGCAAATGCAAATCTGCCTTGGTAAGCAATGTTGTGAATGCAAAAGGCTACCTGTCAACAAGATTGGCAAAATAACTGGTTTTTAAGGACTCGCAGCTGACTGGAATACTTATTAGTTTCAAAACAAATGAACTGGTCACCTACTTTAGCACTCTTGTATATGCCTTTAGGTTGGTATATGGCTTTCAGGTAGCATGGGAGGAGGGCAGTGTGCCAATCGTTGGCAATGAAAATGACTTCTTCTCCTGCGTGCAGAAATGCCATAGTATCAATGTAACAAATATTTTAAACAGTAGTGTTGGTTTGGAGAACTGCAGATGAGATTGCCTACCATATGGTCCCGAAAAATATTTGCTGCTGTTAAGGTTCAGAACTCTTGGTGCTTCTAGAGCTGCCTAAAACATACAATTTATACAATCATGAGAATATAACCATAAAATTGTTGGGGGTGAAAAAGGAGAGAAGAATCAGTAACCTGGCATGGCAGGCTGAATCTAAAAGATGGAGATTACTAACCTGGCATAGCAGGCTGAATCTAAGTTGGTTGTCCTTGAAATCCTCTCCAGCAATGGGTCCGTAGATTTTGGATGCAGTTTTTCCCCAAACCTGAAACACCAGTCATCAAGCAGATAACTTTCCCTTTTTCCAGCTAATAAAAACTTTTGGAAAGGAAGAACATTGATTCACAAGACCAACCTTTTCAAGAAATAGTGGGTGATCCACAAACACACGATCAACTCCTCTTTTGTAGCAATGAAAGAAGCGAACCTTTTCAGTTTTTTCTCCCACTTTAACCTAAATAGCAGAGAAATAAATCATTTCACCATAACCAAACAAAATTCATTGTCCTCCCATTTAAATATGAAGGTTATACAATTTATAATATACACAACCTCAACTGTAACTTCTGTATCCCATGCATCTTTGTACTGGTCGTATCGCGGAGAAACAGTCATCACTCGATGCCCATTTGCCTGAAGAAGAATTAATTTGCTTGTTATAGTCTCATTGATTATATAAGAAATGAATTATAAGGCAAGAGAGGAAGCAGAAGCTAACTGCCATAGCTGGTGGCAGGCCTCCAAGAACATCTCCAAGTCCACCAGTTTTGCTCCATGGGCCAACTTCTGTTCCCAGAAAGACTAAATTCATCCCACTTCCACAAACAATGGTTCCTGCCGTTCTTGAACCAGTCCTAGTACTGTTGAAAGATTTGCTCCTTGCTTGCCTTGCAATTGAATTTCCCATGATTTTGACGCGGAGCTCGTCCACTGTGTTCAAAGCTCTTAACCCATTGTGAGTCGTGGCCTGTTTTCCAAAACCCATTTTCTTGTATCCCGTTTTAGGCTCTGATACAGAAGATACAGCGCCATAGGTGACATGGGAACTTGTTGAGGCAAATCTTGAAGCAGTGACAGTTGCCATTATTAATTATTGGTGATGTTATGTTCTGTATAAGAGTGAACATAAAACACAAAATACATAACAAATCAAACCCAATAACAAGATTAGAAGCAAGCAATAAACAAAGCAAAATTGAGTACCTAGCCAGCCACAAGCTGCAGTGAGTGTGTTCTTTCTTCTTCTTCTGAAAATGATGAGGAAGGAGCTGCACTTGCACTTTGTGGTGGTTTTTAAGCAATTAAGCCAGAGGGTGTAGTTGTACTTTCCAGTTTGCAAAAGGTCACTGAACTCATGGTGGAGGGGTTTGAAATGCCCAGAACCTCAAGATTCATTAGCGGTGTACACAGTGCGAGAGACTAAGACTCATGGGACCAACCAGCTGCATAATAAAAGATCAGAGCAGAATATGCCTAAACATATTTGTTTTTTTCATCTGCAAATTGCTCTCAATTCTCAAATCCACCATTGGACTAAAGTCCAACAACAAGACGAGGAAACAGCTTTAATTTGTCTCCCATCTCACTACTTTGCCGCCTTGGACATAGTATTTTTGCATATGTATATACCTGATACGCGTGTTAAAAATATATGAGATTCGAGTCCGTATTTATCTTAATTTTAAGTAAATAAAACACCGATAAACAAATTTAATAAGTAATATTCTAGAAATACAAATCATTCAAGTTTATAATTTCTCTCTAAATCTTGAATTTAAATTTTTATTATTTGGCCTAATATCTATGCGTAAAGATATAATTTTGTGGTTATTGCTAATTCTGGCTGAACCCTATCTTGACAACAACCGCGCATCGTAACCAAAGGGACGCCAAGTCTGCAACCAGTGTTAGGCAGCTGCCACGTTGTTCCAAATAAAACGACATGTCGTCATTTTACTCTCCTTCCCAATTTTGTTTGACGAAACGACATGGCAGACATACTCGCAGACTTACCAGTCATAGTCATAACAAGAGGAAGAAGAAGAAGAAGAAGAAGAAGAAGACGACGACGAAGAAGCAGTAGCAGCAGCAGCTTGGCTGCACCAGCATGACCAAGAAGCTGACTCAATTCGAACCACAACTTGCCATGGAACTCGACCTCGACTCCTTCCTTAACTCACACCTTTCCCTCTCCGACGAAGACGACGACGACAACCTTAATTCCGTCCCTCACCGTACGATCGAAGAAATCCTCAATGACTCCGATTCGTCCGCGTCATCGTCCCCGCCCTCCACTATCCACCGCCTCGCATCTGATCCCAAACCACCACATCCGCCCACCGACGCTGTATCAGTCTCCAGCGCTAAATCCGACGAGTCCAGTCAAGTCCGGCCGAGGCCCAATTTGTACACTCGGGTCAAGTCCGGCGAGTTATCGGACGATCCGGTCGGAAAGGTTTCGAAGCCGTCGCCATGGTTGCTTGGAGGCATGAGAACGAATGCGAAGCCAGGGGCGGCGCTCGCGGCTGCTGCGGCGGCCTCGAGGTCGATGCCTACACCGCACGCGGCCGCGATCAAATCGAAGAGGAGCGCCGGGAGTGGAGTTTTCCAGAAGGTTCTGGAGAGTACGGAATTGGATGATAAATCCGAGGTAGGGTCCAATTCTAATAATGATACGAATGTAGGTAGTTCTGAAGTGACTGAGTCAAATTCGAATGAAGGAGAAGTGGATTTTGGTGACGAATTGTTGAGAAAAGATAGGGTTTGGGAGAGGGAGAGGGAGAGGGAGTTAGAGGAAACGTCTCAAGGTATTGAAGTAAGTGCTGGGAATGCTCCGGAAGAAGTGAAAAATGTTAGTTTTGATGAGAATTTGACAAATTTAGATGCAAATGATGTTAAAGATAATGAATTTAACAATAATGTTGAGGTTGTGGAGGAATGTCAACCAGAAATACAAGATATAGATGAAAACAGTTCTGGTTCCAAACATAGTGATAGTGAGGAGGAGCGTCTTGGTGATGGTGGTGGTGGCGGTAATGATAATGACGGTGAGGGTGGTGGTGGTGGTGATGATGACGATAATAATGATCGTGATAGTGATGATGATGGTGAATTGGGAAGTTCAATCACTCAACTTGTGGAGGAGAGAATTGGGCAATTGGAGAGCAGGAGGATTAGTAAAAAAGCTGAAAAGAAATTGCAGAAGCCACTCGAAATCGCTGAAGAGCTAGAGAAGAAGCAAGCTTCTACTGCTTTGCATTGGGAAGAGGGTGCTGCTGCTCAACCCATGAGGCTTGAGGGTGTTCGGAGAGGCTCCACCACATTGGGATACTTCAATGTCGATGCTAACAATCCCATTACCAGGACCCTTTCAGCTCCAGCGTTACGGCGTGATCATGGTTCACCACAAGTCTTGGCGGTTCACAGTAATTACATTGCAATAGGAATGGCAAGAGGTGCTATTCTTGTTATCCCTAGTAAATACTCTGCTCATAATGCTGATATCATGGATGCAAAGGTTACCTTCCATTCCTATGTTTTAGTTTTAACTTCCTATGATAGAGAGATAGGTGACTACATGTTAACAAACTATGCTATATATGTTCCAGATGCTAATTCTTGGATTGCAAGGTGAACGATCTTATGCTGCAGTGACTTCTATATGCTTCAATCAGCAAGGGGACCTGCTCTTAGCAGGTTATGCTGATGGTCACATTACAGTTTGGGACGTACAGAGGGCATCGGTTGCTAAAGTAATTACTGGAGAACATACAGCTCCAGTTGTACATACATTGTTTTTAGGGCAGGATTCTCAAGTTACACGTCAATTGAAGGCAGTTACCGGTGATAGTAAGGGCCTGGTACTGTTACATTCTTTCTCTGTGGTTCCCCTGCTTAATAGGTTCTCCATTAAAACACAGGTAAACCTTTTTATTTGCATTGTTTTTAGATATATTCCTGTAGCATTGTGTTTAAAATTGCTTGCTTTTTAGCTGATGTGTGATATTCAACAATGCAATTCTATCAAACTTGCTGATCTTGTGGATGTTGATTGGAACAGTGCCTTCTTGATGGACAAAGAACGGGCACAGTGCTGTCAGCTTCACCCCTCCTCTTTGATGAATTCTCTGGAGGGGCTTCACAATCTGCTCAGGGAAATGGGACGGTTACAGGTAGCAGTATTGGTGGTATGATGGGGGGAGATGCAAGTTGGAAACTCTTCAATGAGGGATCTTCTTTGGTTGAAGAAGGTGTGGTCGTATTTGTCACCCATCAAACTGCTCTGGTGGTATGAAGCCCTCAGATGATAGCGTGAATTCCATGTACCTTTTATTTTGGGAATTAATGCTTGCCTCTTTGTAAAATACTTTCTTTCACAGTTTGTTAATGCCATGTGTCTTTGTTGCAGGTAAGACTAACTCCCAATTTGGAAGTCTATGCACAACTTTCAAAACCAGATGGGGTTCGGGAGGGTGCCATGCCTTGTACTGCTTGGAAATGTACAACACAATCACGCCGTTTACCTGCTAATACTGGTAAGGATTGACTTTCTTTGTTAAATTTCCTGTTGACGGCTTCCTAAGATGAGGTATTTTTTTTTTTTTGGGTAGAAAATATGCCCGCTGAAGTAGTTGAAAGAGTTTCGCTACTTGCAATTGCTTGGGATAGAAAAGTTCAGGTGGCAAAGTTGGTCAAATCGGAGCTGAAAGTATATGGTAAATGGTCTCTTGAAAGTGCAGCCATAGGTGTGGCTTGGCTGGATGATCAGGTATGCTCTTGTTTATTTGTTTTCTGTCATACTGAATTTATGTTTTTCTGCCCTTGAATTGGTTGAGGAGTCTTGTTTACTTCACAATAGAATGAGCATAATTTGAGGTTTTATGGCTTCAGATGCTGGTGGTTCTTACGATGACTGGACAACTTTGTTTGTTTGCAAAGGATGGAACTGTAATTCACCAAACAAGTTTTTCTGTAGACGGTTTTGGAGGGGACGATCTTATTGCTTATCATACTCACTTCGTTAATATATTTGGGAATCCTGAAAAAGCTTATCACAATTGTGTAGCTGTAAGAGGAGCTTCTGTATATGTACTTGGACCTATGCATCTTATTGTTTCCCGGCTTCTCCCATGGAAGGAACGAATTCAAGTTTTAAGGAGAGCAGGTGATTGGATGGGTGCCTTGAACATGGCAATGACAATTTATGATGGCCAAGCTCATGGTGTCGTTGACCTTCCTAGAACTCTGGTTGCTGTACAGGAGGCCATAATGTCCTACCTGGTTGAGTTACTTTTGTCATATGTAGAGGAAGTATTTTCATATATATCAGTAGCATTAGGCAACCAAATTGGAATTATGGATCAAGTTGACGACTTAAACAGCAAAAGCAGTTCTGTGCACTCTGAAATAAAAGAGCAATACACCCGTGTCGGTGGAGTTGCAGTGGAATTCTGTGTCCATATCAAGAGGACTGACATACTTTTTGATGAAATCTTTTCCAAGTTTGTAGCTGTTCAACAGAGAGGTATTCTCAATCCAGTGTGTTTTTGCATTTGATCCTTCTGTTAACTTCATGCGTTTTTGTAGCTGAAGTTTGGGTTTCTGGATTACAAATTTTTTTCTATTGAAATGAAAAAAATAAATATGAGTCATCCTTTGGTGTTCATATGCTTATGAAGAGGGAAACTTCATGTTGCTAAACACATATGGTTGAGTCAGAATGACCTTTTAAAATGTGTAACTGTGTCGCATCAACAAGACACGAAATAAATTGTCTTACCACAACTCATAATAAGTGTCATGCTCAACACCGAAGTGAATGGCATTTTTTATTTTTTTCTGAAAGGGGGATGAAGTGAATAACATATGTTCTGCATTATAGGCTTGAACTTTTCTTCTTTTAGAATAATTTTATTGGAAGTAGTCAGAACCACGCATGTTAACTTTCTTTCATGTTTTGAGGGTGTCTGGATTAATACTTTGACGTATGATAGATCAATGCAATTAAGTTTTAGGACTGCTGTATCTCTTTTTGGCTTGTGTCAGCTGTTGTTTTGCAGCATTGTTTCATAGCTTGAAGCTACATACACATATAATTTTTATCCATCATTGCATGGTACCAATATTTTTCTTTTAAAATTTTTTTAGACACATTTTTGGAGCTGTTGGAGCCGTATATATTGAAGGACATGCTTGGTTCTCTTCCACCTGAGGTATTGCATAATGTTCAAGCATTTTGGCTGTATTGGCAGCTATGTTATACATAATAATGTTCTTTCCCTTCTCCCTTTTCTGAAGATTATGCAAGCACTGGTAGAGCATTATAGCCGCAAAGGATGGTTACAGCGTGTTGAACAATGTGTTCTCCACATGGATATTTCATCCTTGGATTTCAATCAGGTCTGTACTTCTCAGATTTTTGCTTATAATTTTATTTTTATTTTTTATGTTGCGTTGGTTTTGTTTGTTGTAGTTTTCACCTTGACTCACTGATAATGTATTATGTTTTCTTGTAGGTTGTTAGGTTATGCCGGGAGCATGGATTGTATAGTGCTCTGGTGTATCTCTTCAATAAAGGTTTGGATGATTTCAGGTCACCTTTAGAGGAACTGTTGGTGGTCTTGCAAAATAGTAAAAAAGAAGGTGCTACTGCCCTTGGGTATGATTGTCTTTATATGTTTCCTTTGTGTTCTATTGAGTTTGAAAAGTTTATATGTAGTTTATCGTGCTATTTTAGTTTGCTTGTCCTTCAATCATGCATCATCCCTACTCCTTTATTATTATCCTACTGAAAGAATATAATGAGTCGTATCACATTATTTCATGTTACTTCTTGGCTGCATTTTGTCAGTTTTCCAATGAGGCTTTTAAGTGGTCTTATTTTATTTTGTTCTTGTTTACAGTTACCGGATGCTAGTTTATTTGAAGTACTGTTTTTCAGGCCTTGCTTTTCCACCAGGTATGGACTTCACTTATTGGAGTTGTTCAATTGGAATGTCAAAGTATATCCCTCTGTGTAATAATCCCATCTAGAAGTGGCTGTGTGGGTCTTGAAATAAGTAATTTGTAGAAAAGAGATATAAATCTTACAGTATATGAAGTGGTGAAGGAAGACTAACATTCTTTTCTACTGGAACACGTGTTTGAATCACTTGCATAGCTTCATTTCTTGCTGGATGTTAACTCAAGTAATCTGATTAAGAGAGTTTGCGTTAATTATCTCTATTTGCAGGACAGGGAACAATTCCTCCTCCACGCTTGCCATCTCTCAGAACAGAACTTCTGCAATTTTTATTAGAGGGTTCTGATGCTCCTAATTCAAGGGCAGCAGGAGGAGAATATCTTAACCTGTATTTTCTCTTGGAGCTAGATACTGAAGCTACTTTAGACGTTCTGAGATGTGCGTTCATTGAAGATGAAATCTCGAAACCCGACGTTTCTTCTCATGATTCAGCTGATGCAAATATGGAGCTGCCAGATGGGAATAATTCGATGGCTCAAAGTCAGAATTCAATGGTTCAAAGTACAGTAGATACTCTCATTCATATTGTTAGTAAGGGCATCTCCCAAACAGATGGATCTCCTAGCAATGATGAGACTGCATCAACAGTAGAGTGGCCTTCAAAGAAAGACATTGGTCATCTGTTTGAGTTTATTGCGTACTATGTTGCATGTGGAAGAGCTAATGTCTCGAGACATGTACTGTCTCAAATTTTGGAGTACTTGACGTCACAGAATAACTTTCCATCATGGGTTCCTGGAGATACCATAACTTCAAAAAAAAGAGAGAAGCAGGTTCTTGGCCTTCTTGAGGTAGTGCCTGAGACTGATTGGGATTCATCTTATGTGTTACAGCTATGTGAGAAAGCACGATTTTACCAGGTAAATTTACCAATATCTTATGATGTTGTCTCAGTATCATGTTGTTACAGTTCATTCAGTTTGAGATTACTCACTAGAAGGTCTGTTGGAGTTTTTTAGGTTTGTGGCCTAATTCATAACAGCAGGCATCAGTATCTTGCTGCTCTGGATTGCTACATGAAAGATGTAGATGAACCCATTCATGCCTTCTCCTTTATCAACAAAACATTATTACAGTTGACTGACAATGAATCCGCCGCTTTTCGATCAGAAGTAATTTCTCGAATTCCAGAGCTTTTTGACTTAAACAGGTTATCCCTTAGTTATCTTGAAATTCTCTTTTCTTTTTCCTTTTTCACATGTTAAGTAATATTTTGGTTATTTTCTTCAGTGGAGGTTCTCAGTTATTCGATCACAAATATTTTCTTATACTATGCAGAGAAGGCACATTCGTCTTGGTTATCGACCATTTTACTAGTGAAGAAGGTTCACATATCCTCTCTGAACTTCGTTCCCATCCAAAAGGCCTATTCCTTTACTTAAAAACGGTGATTGAGGTTCACTTATCTGGCACCCTCGACTTTTCAAGTTTAAGAAAAGATGATCTTGTGAGGGTGAAGGATCAATCAAAAGCAGTGGAGGCTTACTTGGAAAGGATCTGTGATATCCCAAAGCTTTTGCGTAACAATCCTGTTAATGTGACTGATGATATGATTGAACTTTATCTGGAGGTGAGCACTTTGTTTGTACAATTACATCTTCTTCCTTTTTAAAAAAAAAAAAATTTTCCTTTCAAATTTGATTTTATTGAATGAATCTGTGTCTCAGTTGCATCATATTCTCTTTGTGATTCATTTGTTTTCCTGGATATTGTCAAGTCAAGTGCTTAGTTGAACAATATTTCCTTCCTTCGGGCGAGGGAGATAATATTGTTCTTATTGTGTCAGTGTATTCATTTTGGCCAAATTTTCAATACAAGACTTGAAAAAGTTGAGCGAGTGTGTTTGGTGGCTACCCTGGTTTCTGTACCATAAAGCTTGTCCATGACATTGCCCTCTTAGTGTATTACTTGTGATTTGATTATGTTCAGCAACTACTTGTGATGAAATCACAATGATAACACCTCAGGTTCTAAATGTTTTGCTTTTTACTTTTGCAGCTGTTATGTCAGTATGAGCGCAATTCAGTTCTCAAATTCCTAGAGACTTTTGATAGCTATCGCGTGGAACACTGTTTACGCCTGTGCCAGAAATATGGGATAACAGATGCTGCATCATTCTTGTTGGAAAGGGTTGGTGATGTTGGCAGTGCTCTTTTACTTACACTTTCCACCCTCAATGAAAAATTTATCAAGCTTGATACTGCTGTGGGAAGTCTGGTATCAAGTGGTTCTGCACGTACTGAGCATTTCAGCAATGCTTTAAAATTGGAGGAGGTCTGTGAATGTCATATTTGAATCAGAGCATGTGATTAAGTTTTAATTTTTATGTTTCTATAAATTCACTGAATAGTTATATATTATTCGTAATCTTTCTCATGTAGGTGAGCGACATTAACAGTATATTGCATGCCTGTATTGGATTGTGCCAACGGAACACCCATCGTTTAAATCCTGATGAATCAGAGGCACTCTGGTTTAGATTACTGGACTCGTAAGTTCAAAATCAAATTTTCAATTTTCTTTCCCACCAAGTTTTCCTTGCATATGATTATCTGACTATTTTACACTCCCCGATTTCAGCATTATTGTAGTCTTAAAGTACATGGTCGTACATATTTTGAAGACTAATAATCCTCCAAATTTCAATGCAGGTTTTGTGTGCCTTTAACGGATTCCCTTAATGCTGGAAGAGTATCTAAAGGAGACGATCATAAAACAGTGGTAGCTGAGTCATTGGAATCAGAAGAGGATGAGGTGGCTTTTATTATAGAGTGGAGAATCTCAAAGCTCCATAAAGGCGCTCATATCTTAAGAAAAGTGTTCTCTCGGTTCATCAAGGAGATTGTTGAGGGCATGATAGGTTATGTTCGCCTTCCAACCATCATGTCCAAACTCCTTTCTGATAATGGTAGCCAGGAATTTGGTGATTTTAAATTCACAATATTGGGGATGCTTAGCACATATGGCTTTGAAAGAAGAATTCTGGTATATCATCTTTATATCTCATATGACTTGGTTGATATGTGACTTTTCCTTTTCTCTTGTGAAGTTTTCTATTGTTGTTCAGTCAACTTCCTCTTCATTCTTCTCATTGCATTTAAATAATTTCATCTGTTATGTAGGATACTGCCAAGTCCCTGATAGAAGATGATACATTCTACACTATGAGCATACTCAAGAAAGGGGCCTCTCATGGGTATGCCCCTCGGAGTCAAATATGTTGTATATGTGATTGTCTTCTTGACAAGAACTCTTCTAGCTACATTCGCATTTTCAATTGCGGTCATGCAACACATCTTCAATGCGAAGTTTTGGAGAATGGCACATCAAGTAGTAGCTCGTCCTCCGGATGCCCTGTTTGTATGCCTAAGAAGAAATCTCAGAGGTCCAGAAACAAATCGGTCCTTCCAGAGAAGAGTTTAGTGAAGGGGTTTTCTTCAAGAACCCAACAAATACACGGAACAACTGTCCACCCACATGAAAGCAATGCATCAGAGAATACCTATGGGCTTCACCAAATATCGCGAGTATGGCAATTTCATATCATTTTTGTCATGATCGTCATTTTGTTTTGTCATTGTTATCATTCTCATTTCTATTTTGTGGACTGGTCTTACATTGAAAACTAATGAAAAACTGGAATTGGATGTTGCAGTTTGAGATGTTGACCAATTTGCAGAGAGACCGAGGATTGGTCGAGATTGAAAACATGCCTCAACTGAGGCTTGCACCTCCAGCTGTGTATCATGAAAAGGTTCAGAAAGGAACTGTTCTTTCACCAGCAGAAAGTAGCAGTGATCTTGCGAGAATAGGGAAACAAAGTAAAACCAAGCAACTCAGGGAGCTAAAAGTAAAGGGGTCATCTCTCCGGTTTCCCTTAAAGTCAAACATATTCGGTAATGGTACGTATGTCATTCATTCTCGTGTGATTGTTCTCAAATTTGTGAAGGTGTCCAGTTTTAACGCGTGGATTCATTTTCCAGGCAAGGAGAAGACCAGCAAGCGGTGACATTATCGTCATGTACACAACTAACAAAAACACTAGAGTTGGAATTCAGCAGAGGCTATACAATAACTGATATCTTTAAGTACCGTTTTAGCTTCGTTTTTAACCCCTTACTTCGTTTTCCTCTGTTACATGTAATTCTTTCTATGTTAATTTGTGTCTGTACTTAAAGCTGTTGTAAACTTGTAATTACTTTGTAAAGTGGTACCAGTTTTGTATATGAATCATAGAAAGGCACTTGGCATTTGTAGTGAAATCAAAATACAATCCATCAGTAATGAAGAAGGATTTTATCTTGGATGGTTGATTTGGTCTGTCATAGAGAATGCTCGTTTTAGCTAACTTTTAGTGGTCGTTTTTAGAAAAGAAAAAAAAAAAAAAATTATTCTTTTCTTACTAACGCAGATCAACGAAAACTTTTTTCTTAAAGGAGAGTAAAAAAGGTTTAAGACGTAGAGAAGGTAGAAGAAGAATATGGTGTTGAGATTTCAAAACTCACAGGCTAAAACAACCAAACCAACCAAACAAAAAACAACATAAATTTTTGAAATGTAATTTTTTGAAAAATAAGTTGTAGAGGGCCCAACCGGGTTCGAACCGGTGACCTCTTGATCTGCAGTCAAATGCTCTACCACTGAGCTATGGACCCTGATTGGTTCTAGTTGCTTCATTTTGCTTATATAAACGCGTCTTTGTGCATCTTAAAATGGCAACCTATTCGCGATTTTCAACTTTGCTCGGATTCATTCAGGACTGTTTGAATAATATTTTGAAAGAAGTAGCAAGTGGCAAACACCAAATAACAATTTCAAGATGCCTTGACAAACCAGACTAGCATTTGCCTAATTTGTTCATCCACAACAAATGGATCATATACTAAATTGAGTTATTGCAAACACAAACTTGTGTCTGTGAGCCTTAGCTGAAGTTCTCACATATATGTTCGTTGCTTTAATTTTCCCTTGAGCAACCAGATAAAAGATTATTTCCATCAGGCGCTTAAATTCATGGAAACTATACGAGTGTAATCCTGCTGAAACCTTATCAACTCATGTGACTACCATATTTGCTGTTTGAGTTATAAGCTTAAGGCACAAAAATCTGGTGCTACAAACATCGGATTTTACACATTTGCCAACACAATCCACCAGTTTTCCTTCATGTGTTTTTTAAAAACTTCATTAAGATTGATTCTAGAGAAGGGTGCATGTCATGTAGAAATCATATGCTTAATGGTATTTGTAAAAGCTACCATCAGAAAATGTGCTTCTTTCGCTCCTTCAAGTTCAAAGATTTCCAATGCACAATTAGATTTACCATCAACTTGTTGAAAAGTAAAGCCAAACAAAATTCACCAACTTAGAAATGAGAAGGAAATGCCCACATTGATTTAAAGGAAATGCAAGTTGATACTACAAAGTTGCTGCATATACATCAAGACAGAAAGGAAATCACGTAAAATTCTCCGCACTACCATAGCTGACTGTCAATCCTCATCTTCTGAGCTTGCATCATCGCTAGTATAATCACTACTATCATCATCTTGGTCCGGAATATCCAGCTGAACATGCTGAACCTGTATTGTCGCTGGCGCTCTATGTAATGGTTGATGAGCATTAGGCCGTAATTGTTGCTCTTCGACCCTGGGAGCTGGAGCAGATCCAAGTGGGGGCAAAGGCACTGGGTCCCCAGGCTTCCATCCCGGTGGGGGCACAGGTACATCGCTTGGCAACTCCACAGGCATCCCCGGTATCCAACCTGACGGAACCGTGATATTTGGAGGAAGTAGACCCTGAAGTGCACCCAGCTTGGGAAGTTGATTGGCTTCTGTTGGCTCAGGATGTGGGGGCTCTAATATTGTGTGAATTGTTTCCTCCTCCCTCTCGACTGTCTTAGGTAAACCAACATCAAGGTTTGCAAAATTGTATAGCTGAGAAGCACGCATTTGCTCATCCTGTGGGGCCGGCGGGAGTGCCCCGCGAAGAGGAGCTTGTCCAGCCCCAAATTCTGGTGGTGCAAAGGTTGTGTAGCTTATCCGGTGGGCATATGATAAAATATCTGATAAATTTAACTGAGATGCAACAGTTGTCGTGGTGCATGAAGAATCATCTTCTGCACCATCCTCCTGTTTTGTCCGTTTGGGGCGGCTAAAATCAGAGTAATCATCAACAAGATTATCAAGAACCTGCTCGACATCCTTGAGTTTCTTGGAAAAAGAAAGAAGTGCAGCATCCTTGGACCGCACTTCACGTGCAATTTTCAGCTTAGCATCCTGAAGATCAAGAATTTCTTGGAGTTCAGCAACAGCCTCAAAGAGTTGGGTTTGAAGGGCAGTGAACTGGGAGAGGATCTCTTTGGTGGAGGAAGGAGAAGAGTCAGGTGCAGTTGAGGGCAGTGATTGGGATTGGGAAGAAAGAAAGGTCGGGAAGGACCCACGGAATGCATTGAGCCAAAGGGATCGATTCGGTGAGACTTCAAAGAGTTTAGAGGCAAGGGAGGCCATTTGGATGAGAAGGGATTGGGCTCTAGGGAGGGGTGCAAGGAGAGAGAGAAGGGTTGGGGAGAGACTGGGTTGCTGTGAAGGGAGTTTCGGAGGGGTAGGGTTTTGAAGAGAGGGTGAAGTGGGGTTTGTTAGGCCTAACCTAGCTGGGGATTGTACAATTTGGGGTTGCAGCATTTTGGGATTCACTTGTTTCCTCAAAGCATTCTAGCAACAAGAAATTGAACAAATTACATACTTGATAAATAACAGAAATACCATAGAAGCCAAAGGGCAAACGTTCACAGCATGGAGAACCAAAATTCATTAAAAGAAAAAGGACACTCACCAACAGAATTCAGAAACAAAAGTAGCGAGCTAGAAGCTGCTGTATGAAGGAGCCCCAATGTTGCTTTGCTACAGGACCATCCCGTTTTCTTTGTTTTCAGCTGCTCAAAAAGCTGCAAAATCTACACCTTCTTAGAAACATAAACAGGCCCTCTGAATTTAGAAATAAAACTAGCAAAAGGTGCCCGCATGATGCTGCGGGTTTTAAAATTGTGTGAAATGTGTATAAAGCGATGAAAAGTTTTTCTCCTTTTTTTTCCTTCTTCTGTTTTATTTTACAACAAACAAAAGAAAACCATGTTCAAGAAAAATTAATAAATAACTTTTTAGAAGCAAGACAAACGAAAAATAGAGCATGAAAGATGTGTCTGTGTGGTGGATGTACTAATATGATATGAAAGTTTAAAATTAAAAAAAAAAACTCAGGAATCCAATAAAAGTAGCAGATCAATTGAAGTATTATAAACCCTAAATCATAGCAATTATGGAATCAAGTTATGCATGACCTCTTCAAAAGATGAATAGAAAAATGACCTATCATCACAACAACAAATTAACAACCCATTACAGCAGCAAAATCATTACAAATTGTCGAAATTGGCATGCATGCTTACTTTCCCACAACAACAATAGTAACTACAACAGATCATCACAGCAGCAGAATCAATTTGGGCAAGGAATCAAAGGATTCAACAGCATGCTTAAAAACCCATCAGCAAGCCATTAATCCTTTAAACATCTACTACATTAGACACTGACAAATAATCAAAATGGGTACAAATTTATTAATTAGAAAAAAATAAAGCATAAACAGCAAAGAGAACAAACCTCATTAATGGCAAGCACTTACCACAATATTAAGTTTAACGCAAAATTCACCGATGAAGATTTGGGATCACAAAAGCTGAGCTGAAGGATTATGCCCAGAGTTTCATTCCGTAAATCTTAGGGAGCTCATCAAATGCCGTAGGGAGCTTCCTCCAAACAACCTGGTTCTGGTAGAAACTGCAACACAAAAACGACACCGTTAATTACATCTCAAACATGTAAATGCAATTTCATATCTATTCATAAACTTTTAAATCTTAAACCAAATGGACCTGATAGTTTCGGTCCACTGAATCACACTGTTTTTTTTTTCAAATCACAAAAAAGATCCTATACTTGTCCTGTCATACTTTAATTTGACAGCTACTATAATAATATTATACATATTGAATCATAATTAAGTGAATAAAAAAATTACAGAGACTTGTGCTAGATTGAGGGATGGACGGAGGGTAAGAAATAACCCTAATCCTAAATGATTTGACGGGAAATTTAAAACCCAACCCACTGAGAACTATGCAGGCTTACCTTGAAAGTACCCATGTCCGAGAATTAGAGAAGACGACTATGATCTCTGAGGCCTCTCTCTCTCGCACTTCTCTTCGGTGAACGCCGGTTTGAGAGCTGAAGGGGGTTTTGTTTTGAAAAGAAGCGAACTGAGAAAGAGGGCTATGTAGCTGTTCATCAGGGCAAAAATGCCATTGTACTGTTCATTAGTGAACATAATTAAGAGAGCAACCAGTTAAGCAGGGGCACAAATGTCATTTAACTATTCCTAAGAAACAGTCTGGGAACAGTTTAGGAACAGTCAGCGGCAGCTTGGCTGCACCAGCATGACCAAGAAGCTGACTCAATTCGAACCACAACTTGCCATGGAACTCGACCTCGACTCCTTCCTCAACTCACACCTTTCCCTCTCCGACGAAGACGACGACGACAACCTTAATTCCGTCCCTCACCGTACGATCGACGAAATCCTCAACGACTCCGATTCGTCCTCGTCCCCGCCCTCCACTATCCACCGCCTCGCATCTGATCCCAAACCACCACATCCGCCCACCGACGCCGTATCAGTCTCCAGCGCTAAATCCGACGAGTCCAGTCAAGTCCGGCCGAGGCCCAATTTGTACGCTCGGGTCAAGTCCGGCGAGTTATCGGACGATCCGGTCGGAAAGGTTTCGAAGCCGTCGCCATGGTTGCTTGGAGGCATGAGAACGAATGCGAAGCCAGGGGCGGCGCTCGCGGCTGCTGCGGCGGCCTCGAGGTCGATGCCTACACCGCACGCGGCCGCGATCAAATCGAAGAGGAGCGCCGGGAGTGGAGTTTTCCAGAAGGTTCTGGAGAGTACGGAATTGGATGATAAATCCGAGGTAGGGTCCAATTCTAATAATGATACGAATGTAGGTAGTTCTGAAGTGACTGAGTCAAATTCGAATGAAGGAGAAGTGGATTTTGGTGACGAATTGTTGAGAAAAGATAGGGTTTGGGAGAGGGAGAGGGAGAGGGAGTTAGAGGAAACGTCTCAAGGTATTGAAGTAAGTGCTGGGAATGCTCCGGAAGAAGTGAAAAATGTTAGTTTTGATGAGAATTTGACAAATTTAGATGCAAATGATGTTAAAGATAATGAATTTAACAATAATGTTGAGGTTGTGGAGGAATGTCAACCAGAAATACAAGATATAGATGAAAACAGTTCTGGTTCCAAACATAGTGATAGTGAGGAGGAGCGTCTTGGTGATGGTGGTGGTGGCGGTAATGATAATGACGGTGAGGGTGGTGGTGGTGGTGATGATGACGATAATAATGATCGTGATAGTGATGATGATGGTGAATTGGGAAGTTCAATCACTCAACTTGTGGAGGAGAGAATTGGGCAATTGGAGAGCAGGAGGATTAGTAAAAAAGCTGAAAAGAAATTGCAGAAGCCACTCGAAATCGCTGAAGAGCTAGAGAAGAAGCAAGCTTCTACTGCTTTGCATTGGGAAGAGGGTGCTGCTGCTCAACCCATGAGGCTTGAGGGTGTTCGGAGAGGCTCCACCACATTGGGATACTTCAATGTCGATGCTAACAATCCCATTACCAGGACCCTTTCAGCTCCAGCGTTACGGCGTGATCATGGTTCACCACAAGTCTTGGCGGTTCACAGTAATTACATTGCAATAGGAATGGCAAGAGGTGCTATTCTTGTTATCCCTAGTAAATACTCTGCTCATAATGCTGATATCATGGATGCAAAGGTTACCTTCCATTCCTATGTTTTAGTTTTAACTTCCTATGATAGAGAGATAGGTGACTACATGTTAACAAACTATGCTATATATGTTCCAGATGCTAATTCTTGGATTGCAAGGTGAACGATCTTATGCTGCAGTGACTTCTATATGCTTCAATCAGCAAGGGGACCTGCTCTTAGCAGGTTATGCTGATGGTCACATTACAGTTTGGGACGTACAGAGGGCATCGGTTGCTAAAGTAATTACTGGAGAACATACAGCTCCAGTTGTACATACATTGTTTTTAGGGCAGGATTCTCAAGTTACACGTCAATTGAAGGCAGTTACCGGTGATAGTAAGGGCCTGGTACTGTTACATTCTTTCTCTGTGGTTCCCCTGCTTAATAGGTTCTCCATTAAAACACAGGTAAACCTTTTTATTTGCATTGTTTTTAGATATATTCCTGTAGCATTGTGTTTAAAATTGCTTGCTTTTGAGCTGATGTGTGATGTTCAACAATGCAATTCTATCAAACTTGCTGATCTTGTGGATGTTGATTGGAACGGTGCCTTCTTGATGGAAAAAGGACGGGCACAGTGCTGTCAGCTTCACCCCTCCTCTTTGATGAATTCTCAGGGAAGGATTCTCAAGTTACACGTCAATTGAAGGCAGTTACCGGTGATAGTAAGGGCCTGGTACTGTTACATTCTTTCTCTGTGGTTCCCCTGCTTAATAGGTTCTCCATTAAAACACAGGTAAACCTTTTTATTTGCATTGTTTTTAGATATATTCCTGTAGCATTGTGTTTAAAATTGCTTGCTTTTTAGCTGATGTGTGATATTCAACAATGCAATTCTATCAAACTTGCTGATCTTGTGGATGTTGATTGGAACAGTGCCTTCTTGATGGACAAAGAACGGGCACAGTGCTGTCAGCTTCACCCCTCCTCTTTGATGAATTCTCTGGAGGGGCTTCACAATCTGCTCAGGGAAATGGGACGGTTACAGGTAGCAGTATTGGTGGTATGAGGGGTGCGAGGAGAGAGAGAAGGGTTGGGGAGAGACTGGGTTGCTGTGAAGGGAGTTTCGGAGGGGTAGGGTTTTGAAGAGAGGGTGAAGTGGGGTTTGTTAGGCCTAACCTAGCTGGGAATTGTACAATTTGGGGTTGCAGCATTTTGGGATTCACTTGTTTCCTCAAAGCATTCTAGCAACAAGAAATTGAACAAATTACATACTTAATAAATAACAGAAATACCATATGAGTCAAAGGGCAAACGTTCACAGCATGGAGAACCAAAATTCATTAAAAGAAAAAGGACACTCACCAACAGAATTCAGAAACAAAAGTAGCGAGCTAGAAGATGCTGTATGAAGGAGCCCCAATGTTGCTTTGCTACAGGACCATCCCGTTTTCTTTGTTTTCAGCTGCTCAAAAAGCTGCAAAATCTACACTTTCTTAGAAACATAAACAGGCCCTCTGAATTTAGAAATAAAATTTCCTCTGAATTTAGGAAAGAGCGCAGAAAATTGAAACTGAAGAGTTGAGATGGTTTGCAATTGCGACGAGAATAAATAACAAATGGACCGAAAGTGGGCTGACTATGGATGGGCTTGGGGTGGGATGAATGTGCCCAAATGAAGAAAAAAAGTATTAAAAAAACTTCGAAATTGGGAGGGCCCAACCGGGTTCGAACCGGTGACCTCTTGATCTGCAGTCAAATGCTCTACCACTGAGCTATGGACCCCTTTGGTGCTAATGGGTTTCAAATATTTAATTTCAAATGAAATGAATATCAACTGAAATGAGCAAATGGGTTTGCAGTCCTCATCCTATGACAAGTTGGAACTCATCCTTGTCCACATGGTCACAAGGAGGACTTGGGTGACGACAGAAATAAGGAAACATAAAAAGACAAAACTGTTTTGTTCATGATTTTTTTTTTCTTAAATTTTTTTTTTTCGCATAGTAAACTCAAAAAGGAAAGGTGTTGGTAAACCAATTTCAAACAATAAAATATTTGTTTGTTTGTTAAAATTAGTAGTGGTGATGTGAAGTAAAATAATGCCACTCTATACAACCTAAGTCAAGCTCAAAACAAAGTGACTTGTATTATGTTTGACACCAAAAAAGTGTGACATTTATTATTATTATTTTGAAATGTCGCTTTATTTTGGTCACACCTCTTTACATAGGTGAAGAAATCATAAATGAAGCACCTCTTTTATGAGATATGCATACTAATTCCTCTAAAATGCTTGTGTGCGTAATCTAATGTATCAAATAGAATGCATATATGGACTTAGCCAAGTTGACTAGAATGAATGTGCGCCTTACTTTGCACCCGAGTTCAAGTCTCTCTTCATGTAATTTATATATTAAAAAAAAAAGAATGCATATATGCTTTAAAAGATAAAAAATAAAATGCATGAGAGCCATATTCATCATTAACCAATGGAATTGATTAAAACATCAAATTGCTTTTCCTTGAGAACCATATTGTATGAAGCACTCAATCAACAACCAAATTCAATATGTGGCATTGCAAACACAACGAAAATCCATTTAAAACCATTAAAAAAAAAATTAAACACCATTGCACTAAGATGATTTTGACACTATAAATAAATGAATGAAAGATAAACCCAACTGTCCAAGAAAAATAATTTGGAGACAAAATGTTTGCATCGGAGTTTACAAGGCCAAAAGCCTAAAAACACACAAAATAATTAGCAAAGCGAGGCAAAAACTAGAAGTAATTGTAGAAGTAAGAACAACACAACAAGTAGTTGGTTGAGTTGTTGGTTGGCCTCCCATTTGATCAGGCGGTTATTTCCAAGCCTCCTTCCTTCGTTTTCTCCGCCCCTTCTTCTCCTCTTATACTTTCTCTCCCTCACTCCCTCAATTTCCATCTCCCCCATTTCTTTTCTCTCTCAATACCCAAATTTTACCAATTCCCAAACAAAGACAGAGCCACTGAAACAAGGGGGAGAGATGTCATTCTCTGCCACCAATTTGGCCCAGCCCCTCCAACTCAACACCGCTACCCCCAGATCCAATGACAAGCCCTCCTTGTTGTTGCCCAAGACCTCATCTTTTCTCGGATCTACCCGCAACCTCCGACCCACTTCCCTATCTGCTAACCACAGTCAGTCGAATGCCCACCGTCGATCCGCTGTCGTTGCTGTCTCCGAAGCTGTGAAGGAGAAGAAGCTCCATGCATCCACCAATCTGGTAATGTTTTAGTCTTGAAAGTTCATTGCTTGATTTAGTTTTCTGGGTAAGTTTTGTTTTTCTCATGCATGGTAAGCCAAGGGAAGGAGAAGAGAATTGGATTTCAAATTTTGTTTTTCTTGGGTTTTTAAGTACTGGGTAGCTGAGATTTACGAGCAATTCCACTTAATCAAGCTTAATTTAAGTTTTTTGATCCAACAATTGAAAACCCAGAACAGATAAATCCCAAGCTTCCAACTTTCAGCTTTGTTTCTCGGTGGCTTTAATTCAATTTGATTTGTGTCTTATTTTTCAAGTTCATGGAACTTCAGTATATCTATCTAATTAAGTTTGAAGAGATTTAGAATTACACAGCTGAGCTTTTTCTTTGTTTCCCAAAGATTTAATTATCTCATGAAATGAAACAGTGTCTAAGACTATCCTTTTCAATCTTTGTGCGTTTAGCTTATAACAAAAGAGGAAGGCCTGGAGCTGTATGAAGACATGGTATTGGGTAGGTCTTTTGAGGACATGTGTGCTCAGATGTATTATAGAGGCAAGATGTTCGGGTTTGTTCATCTTTACAATGGCCAAGAAGCTGTGTCAACTGGGTTTATCAAGCTTACAAAGAAGGAAGATTCTGTGGTGAGCACTTACCGTGATCACGTACACTCCTTGAGTAAGGGTGTCCCTGCTCGTGAGGTGATGAGTGAGCTCTTTGGAAAGGCCACTGGTTGTTGCCGAGGCCAAGGTGGTTCAATGCACATGTTTTCAAAAGAGCACAATGTGCTTGGTGGGTTTGCATTTATTGGTGAAGGGATACCAGTAGCAACAGGTGCAGCATTCTCCTCTAGATACAGGAGGGAAGTGCTGAAACAAGCAGACTGTGATCACGTGACGTTGGCCTTTTTTGGAGATGGGACTGCTAATAATGGCCAGTTCTTTGAGTGTTTGAACATGGCAGCATTGTGGAAATTGCCAATTGTTTTTGTTGTGGAGAACAATTTATGGGCTATTGGAATGTCACATTTGAGGGCTACTTCTGATCCAGAAATTTGGAAGAAGGGCCCTGCATTTGGTATGCCTGGTGTTCATGTGGATGGGATGGATGTTTTGAAGGTGAGGGAGGTGGCAAAGGAGGCAATTGGAAGGGCCAGGAGAGGAGAAGGGCCAACATTGGTGGAATGTGAAACATACAGGTTCAGAGGACATTCATTGGCTGATCCCGATGAGCTTCGTGACCCTGGTGAGTATTTGAGTTATGTCTTTCTTCTTTTAGATGTGTCCTTGTTTTTGAATTTTTATTGAATTCTTGGAGAGATGTTCATGCTTCTGCGAATTAAAATTTGTCTATGCTTCCGTCTCCTACTCCTTTTGGTTCTGTTTCTGCTCATAGTATCTTCTGTGATTTACCTTTTGAGTTTTAATATCGTGATTTTTTTATTGTTTGTTGGATTATGGACTTGAGCCACTATATGAACTATGAAGTGGATAGTTTCTTCTGTGTTAGATTTTTATCTTTTCATTTCTAATATCCTGATTTTTTAATTTACTTGTGTTGGATTATGGAGAAATCCCCACTCTTTTGGAGAAAATAATTCTCTCATTTCGCAGCCAGCATGTTCACTTCTTCGTTTTCATATCATTTCATTCCTTTGAGTTGAAGTTGCTAAATATTAACCACTATGCTTGGTTCCATTTTGGCAGCTGAGAAGGCACACTATGCTGCCAGAGACCCCATCACAGCCTTAAAGAAATACGTACTTGAGAACAATTTGGCCACTGAACAAGAGTTGAAGGCCATACATAAGAAGATTGATGAGTTGGTTGAGGATGCTGTTGAGTTCGCAGATGAGAGCCCACTTCCACCTCGCAGCCAGCTGCTCGAGAATGTGTTTGCTGATCCAAAAGGTTTTGGAATCGGCCCTGATGGCAGCTACAGATGTGAAGATCCTAAGTTCACTCAGGGCACTGCTCATGTCTAATCTATGTTGGACCTCTAGCAATCAACGTGTGCTAGCTCTCTGTTCCTAGATATATGCATGGTGTTAATTTTTAGTTACTGCTAGCAGTTACTTTGTCACTTAAGAAGATTGTATCAGCTTTATCCACTGTAAGCAGGAATATGTTTGTTAGTTGTTTCAGTTTTGGTCATTTTACCGCTCATTTTAAAATTATCTTTGTTTTTTTGTATTGGCAAGCAAAACCCTGTTGGGATGTTGGCTCTTTGTTTCCAATTTTATTATATCTACACATGATTCTCAAAATTTTGCATTCATCGGAACCAACATATTAAATTGATATTGCAGCAATTGTTCTTTGCTTGATTTTTTTTGGGCCAACATGTAATTTGCCAAAAAGTTGAGAAATTTATGTCAAGATTGAACTATAAAAATGGAGTTTATGTCAAAATTAAACGTGATTAACAAAATTGACACTCAGCTTAATCTGGCGATAGTCCTATATTATGATATATATATCAATTCTAGTATGCGACTCACTTTACAAACTTTGAACTTCGAAAATTTACAAAGCTTGCAATGGAAGCATGAATGGTAAAAATTCATAATCGAAGTACTCTTCTACACTGTATGAGTTCCAAAATAAAATGTACATGTTGAGGGTAAAATAGTACTGAAAAATCTGGTACAAAAATTGTAAGAAATGGTAAAAATAAGAATGAAGATATGATACTTACGAAGGAGAAACAACAAAAGAATGTGCGGGTAAGTGTCAATTCAGACGGGGATTACAACTTAAGGGCGGAAATTGCTTCAGGTTTAAAATCAACTCTCAGACTCAATACTCGCCTGACCTCGGCTGGTGTCAGTCTCCAGGTCATAGGTCCTGAGTTCTCACCCCAGAAATCTAAAATCTCTGAGACCTTTTCTAAGTTGAGGATTGTCGCCATTTGAGTGAGACGAGCAAACTTGTCTCTAACAGTCCTTTGAGTCATACTAGAGAAGTGGCTTACCAATGCTCTAGCATCTCTGTCCAGCTGAAGGCCTCCAAGTTGACTGAATCTCTTCTGTATCATAGTTGCTTCAAGCC